TCTTTCCCTGGCACCCTGGAGGGGCACCGCATCTCCACTGTGATTACATCCTGCAGCTGGTGGAGGGCAAAGACGTTCCCAGTAAGAGATTCCCAGATGGCCAGGTCAGGCCAAGGAGCATTCCAGGACATGGCAATAGACTGGGGCCTGGAAACACATTTCTTGCCTCGGTTGTTTATTTGAATTTTTCTTACTATAAATATTTAAGGTGGTTTTACTTTATTTTAATAATTTAACTTACCCCAAAGCCCCTAAGGTAATTTATTGGAGGTTGGTACATGTACTCTCGCCACTGGGACAACGCAAGGCTTTAACACGATGGACAGGCGCAGGGTCCCCTGTGTGGATGAGGCAACTCAGCAGCCGAGCTCTGGTCTCCAGGTCAGCTTTGGAGGGCCCCCCAGCAAAGCTGGAGCCCTGCAGCCTGCTCCCCCAAAAACTGCTGACCCTTTGGCCTCAGAGCACCACTTTACACTCAACACCCGGTACTTGCCCAAGCCCCAGACGTGAGTCTGTAAATGCTCACAGACAGGGTGGAGGGCTGGACCGCTTCCCAAACACTTTCCATTTTTTCTCATTTTCCTCCCTCCCTCTGAAACCTTTTTTGTTTCGATGAGTCAAACACGGATTACTAAGGCTTTATCAAGAGCATGGAGATCTCTCCAAGTTCCCCAAGTGAGAACTCACAGGAAAACAGGACTGAACTTCCAGAATGTTGTTTATTGCAGCTTTGCACATCGATCTGAGAGTGTCTGCCAGCCTGCCTCAGTTCTCACCAGCCTGCCAGCTTTTTCACCAGCCTCTCTCCTTAGCCTTGTGGGCTCTCCCGGCTCGCCTCCCAGCCCCAACTCCACTGCCCACCCTTCCCCATGTCCCATGTGAGCTGCCTGAGCCATCGGATGGATTGCACCGTGGCTCATTGCAGTGTGGTGATGGGGGAGGGATACTCAGATGGCCTCCCCCTTGGTGCCAGTGAACCCGTTTTGTTTACACACATGCCCACACATCTGCCTGTAAGGGGCTGGGGGCTCAGAGTGGAAACACCAGGATAGAGTGGCTTATCTGTGAATTTGCCATCAGGAAAACCAAAAGCCAGCAGCGTGGCTAATTTGCCCCCAGGACTCAGGAGATGCCTCTGCGCTCCCACCTACCAGCTGCCCGTCTTGCCCTTTCTGGGGCACCTGGACCAGTTACCCAAATTCCTTCATCACCATTCCCTATCGGTAGAACTTGGGGTTACGTTGGTGCAAGCAGCCACTTCCTCGTGCCATAGTGACCTGTGTGGGCAGAGCAGGCAGGCTGATGGAGCCATGGGCCAATCCCCTCTAGGAAGCCACTGCTCCCACCCACGAGGTCAGGGGGCCCCTCCGAGGTTATCTCCAAGTGAGGGGATTCACACAAGGCCACAAGCCACCAGAGGCCTCTGGCACTTCCCAGAGCTGCAGACGGCCAGGGAGGCTGTGCTTCTAGCCTTGGGGAGAAATCCTCGTGAGACCTGAACCCTGCGGACCGCTCAGCCTTACCGTCGTTCTCATCCAAGATTGTCCTTGCATTCTCATTGTCTTAGAGCATGGCCACCCAGCCCTCAGCCAGTGTCCGAGACCCCAGAGCTTGGTTTTCAATAAAGTCCCAGTTTCTGCTTCCTGCCTGCCACTGTGCCAGCTCACTCATCACTGTTCCTACAGAAGCCTCTGGACGAGGGGCTTGATGGGGTTGAAAATGTTACGTGTAAATATTGGTTTGGTTTGATTTTTAGCATTTTAATTAGTAACGGTTGTGTTTTCTTTTTTGGGGTGGGGGGTTGGTTTGTAAAAACTCTCTACTCTTTTGGAATGTAATTTCTAAGTTTGTTTCTTCAAATGCCTTTTTAAGTCTTGGTAACATTCCCAAAGCAGAAAACTGCCTGGCCCTCTGTGGGGACTCCCCTGGAGCACTGGGTCCCAGGAAGGAACACTGCCCTTTCCCCCTTTCTTCCCCTTCCTGCTGCCCCTTTTACCTTTTTACTCCTAGCAGCAGCTTCCTTCTCTTCTTCCTCCTCCTCTAGCCTTCTTTATCCTTTCCCCGTCTCTATTCTCTGCAGCCAAAGTCCCAAGGAACTCTGGGGTCCTAATTCCCTACAGACCCCTAGGCTTGGATCCATTGTGTCGGCACCAGCTGGTTGAGGGGAAATGGGAGACCAGTTGGCATGGTTGACCCCAAACTGGACGATCTTGTGTTTCTTATGTCTGACGTCTTCCCAGAGCCAAATTAAACCCTCCTGGGGGCAATGATGTCTGTATTTGAAATGAAAGTCAAACCACTTTGGCACATCAGTGGTCCCTAGATCCTGCATGCACAAAGTATCAGTATCCAAGTCCCTGTCACCCTGGCAGCCCTTCCCCCCACCCCCCCACCCCCACTAATTCTTTCCCCACCAAAGGCTGACCAGTTGTAAAAACTCCTCCAAGGCGTCTTGCTCAAAACGGCCCCTCCCCTTGGTCCCCCCAGGGACGCTCCTCTACCAGCTGCTCTCCCAGGTGACAAAGTTGAGGGCCCAAGACTTGACCCTCTTATACCCTAATTGCCACATGGCTCCCTCGTGCCTGCCCCCACGCACCTTCCATGGTTTTGTCACCCGGCCTGTTCTCCTCTTGCCCATCCAACTTCCAGGCCCTTCCTCCCTCTCCTCTCCCATCTAGAATGTCCTCCCCACCCCAGCTTTGCCAGCCTTCCAGCCCCACCAGCATCACCTCCCCCCGCCACCCCGTACACCCCTCCTAGAGCACATTGCTATTTAGAAATTGCTTCCCCATGCCACATCTCCTTCAGACTTCTAAGGGCCAACTCTGGGAGGCAACCTTGGCAGGATAGGGGTTAGTGCTCCCATTTTACAGATGACGAAACTGAAGTGCAGGTCTCATCCCTGAGTCTCCTAACTGGGAAGTCATCAAGTTTAGACTAGAACCTGGGTCCACTGGATCCCCCAGCCCAACACTGTCCTGCTTGCTGTGTCAACCCACTGCCCCACTGGGGGCTTTGTGTGGGTATAGGACACCGAGAATATGCCACTGCCCAACCCAGACATAAAACCAGTCCACTCTGAATCACTGGACCCGTGTGTCCCAGAGGGTGGTGTGGAGACCCCCTGCATCAGAATCCTCTTAGGGCATGTCCAAAATGCAGCTTCCTGGGACCCGCCTCAGCCTCTGGGCCAGGAATCTGCGTATCTAACAAATTCCCAGGGAGATCCTGAGTACCAGTGGCCACACCATTGATGTTCACAGCCCTGACCGTTAGGCCATCTTTTTTCAACCAGATAGCCATGATGTTATATCTTAAAAAGAGCACTGAGCTGGTAATTAGGGGGCCTGCTCCTCAAGCCAGCTCTGATTTGGGTTAATTATGCTGAGAATTTCCAAAAAGCACTGGAGGCAATTTACAATCTTAGTCATAAGGATCAGTAAGACAACAGAAAAAAAGAAAGTCAGGAACTTCCTTGGCGGTCCAGTGGTTAAGACTCTGTGCTTCCACGGCAGAGGTTACAGGTTCGATCCCTGGTAGGGGAACTAAGATCCCGAATGCCTCACGGCGCAGCCAGAAAAGAAAAAAGTACAAAGAAAGTCAAAAAGCAAGAGAAATGATCATTCCCCAAATCTATCTGACATGATTTCCATAATCCTGGATTTAAATTTTACTCTTGAGTTTCCTGGCAGCCACGGTAAAAAGGGAAGCATGTCATCATCCAGTCATGGGATGTAACCATACATCCCCAGGAGACAAACTCTTCTGCTGCTCATTTCGAGCATGTGTCCTTCCTTTAAAGTCCACTAAGCCGGTTGCAGTGTGAACCTAAGATGCAAGGATGGTTTCCAGGTCACTATTTTTAAAATAATAATAAACAGCCACCAACTTGAATGACCTTGGCCCCGGAGCATGTGGCTAGTCTGTACCTCAGTTCTGCCAGCTATAAAGTGGGAGAATGTCCTTGCATGGCTGTCCTGAGGACCAAATACAGTACTGTGCCTGTGAATCTGCCTGGGAAAGCGTAAGGTTCTACACCCATGGGAAGTGGTCTGATCACACTCATTGATCAGACCACACCAGCCTCCTGGTGCCCTGGCCCTAGAGGTGATACACCCCTCACT